CATGCAGGGGCATGCCCAGGGACAAATAGCAACAGCACAAATAGCTGCTGCTATTTGTCCCATGGAAAACACGCTCCTCTGCGCATGCATGTGCTTGTGGGGATAGGCCCTCTGTGGCAACTGAGCAGTGCAAAGGGAGTAGGCAAGGCTGCAACTGGGTCTTTCATTTGTTTCTTCAAAGCTACGTTCCTGGAGGGTTTTAATGAAGACTACTAGACCATTTATAATGTGAAGAGAAGGTCACACCAACAACAGCTTGATGCATCTTGTTCTGTTGAATGAAGGGATATGGCATGTGACTATCCATGTAAAGAAAAGGGTGTACAGTCCTCTGTTGAAAAGTAGCTCTGTTGCTGTAATGGAAGTATCACTGGGTAAGTCACCCTGATACCATCTTCTGTAAATCTCCAATAGATTTATTTTTACATTCTGAATTTTTAGGGAGATGGATATGATGATTACATCCATGCCATAACAATGGATTTAAAGCTCTGCCTGGAGTGTTGATCTTCTCGTGGATGTGCGGAGACCTGAGGCCCCAGATGGGTTGCATACCATTGCTATACTATGTACCACAAAGGATCACTCTTACTTTTGCAAAACAACTCTTTCTGCAGAGGACTGGTTCTATCTTTCTAATATACAGGAGAAGGACTACTGTACCTTTTCTTGTCTAAGGCTGTGGAGAGTCTTGCTGACCAGGTTTATTTTACTTTATTCTGGGGAAAATGAGAAACTCATCCTAGGGGCCATGTGCAAGTTCTTTTGAATCACATACCCATTTTTAAGGTTGCTTGCACCCCAAATGAGGGATACCTTTGAAATGTGCCTCATAGAGAAGGGATGTGTCTAGACCTTGGGAGCCCCAGGACAAAAGATGGTTGTTTTTTCCAGTGAATCTCAGTCTTGAGCATCCACCTCTCAGGAAAGGTATCAGTAGCCCCCTCTTAAGGTGCAACCTCCATGCTGGAATCTGGAGGAAAAGACCTCAGGTAGCCTGGAGATCCACAGGAAGGAGAAAGGGACTCTCACCTGCTTTTAACTCCACAGTGACTGCTTTTTCTTTATGGCCCCTAAAATGTTCATCAACAAATATGCAGAAGGATACTGGAGTTTAAGCTGCAGTTCCACTTTTCTCAGCAGGAGTCACTTTTGCCCCAGGATGTGTCTTGGAGCGTTTAAAAAGTACAGGAAATCCTAATCATCGTAGTCTCCTAATGAGGTTTAAGTTTAACATAGGATTTTTTGATGGGCAGAAAGGCAGGAACTGCGCTTGCAATCAGTGCCTCCACCTTGAATATAGGCCTTCCAAATAAAAACAACAAAAACCAGTGTGCTTGAGGTTGGGGCTGTTGTATCCAGCTTTAGTCCCAATGAGGCTCATATTCTTCCATCTGTGGGATTAAGAAGGAAATTCGCTTGGCCTGTTTGACTGTGCTTAACTCTAACTAATGATTCAGATGGTTTTTGTTTGGGATACATTGGTGTTTTGTATTTCTAGAAGTAAATACCTGTGAAATCAGTTCCCTGTTTCTGCTTAATTCTGGGGCACATGATTGAGCGCCTGAGATACCATGTCAAGACCTCTGCTTGAAAGATTTCTCTTCGTTAGAAGATCTAGAGATTCATGAGAGATATTAGGACTTTCTACAGTCTCTTTATAAGAGTGGACGAATGAGCAATACCCTTTGCCAGCCTATGGGCCAGATCTTTAATGGAAGGGGGAGGGAAGAGTGAGCTGTGATGGGCATATAGTGTTACTAGGGGGCCTGAATGAACAGTCTACAGGCATGGATCCTGCCTTTCCGCCTCTGGAGAAAAAGGGTAGCCACATAATGAGCTGCTCTGGAGAGGCTGGATGGGAAAGACAAGTCCTTGTCCCAAGGAAGATGATTGGAACCACTTTTTCCACCATATGCTTTGCTGCTGGGTCCAGGCCGAACAAGGAACCAAATGTGAATGAGGTGCCAGAGCCACTGGACACAAGTGAATCATAGTAACAGAAAGGTTACTTGAGCCAGCACTTTCCATATCAGCAGCCTGTGAGAAGAGATGTTTTATACCCTTCTCACTGCTTGAAGAGCTAAACTTACCCTATGTCAATCAGAAGAAGCCATTTCTTTTTTTTGTTTGCAAAGCCTTCCCCCCCAAGATACAGCAGAGTCCAGTGAAATTTCCTGCTTGCTCTGCAAACCATGGGAATTAGGGGCTCCTTGTCTAGGGGAGAGGCAGGGGCAGACCCTGGAGAAAACCTGGCCCTTCTCCCCCAGTTCCATGTCACTGAGTTTCTCTTGGTCTCACTGAAGAGATTTTCCAGATAACTTACCAAACTGCCTCAGTGCTCACCGACCAGTGGATCTTGATCCACCAGTAGATCTAGGAGCCTCTTGGAGTTGATCTGAGGCTGGGGTTGGAGGCTGAGTGCCCGTGTGCATGCACACACTCCAGCCCAGCAGGTCCGTTCATGGGGAAGGGAAGGGACTAGACTGAGGCCCCTATAGTGAGGCACAATGCCGCAGAGGCAGGAGCAAGGGTAAGTTGCGTGGGGCCCCAGCCGGGTGGGACTTACCTGCCGGGGAGGTGATTTTTTTCTCCCTCTGCCTCCATCTTCCCTCCCCACAGACTTACCTGCTGGGTGGGGGGTGGGGCAGGGGGTGGCAGCGCCTGGTAGATCTTGGGTTGCTTTTAATGCCAAAGGTGATTTCCTACTTAAAAAGGTTGGAGACCACTGGTGTAGACCCTGAGTGCACAGTAACTGCCAGCTGAGGTCCAGCAGCTGGATGTCCCTGGCTGCTATTTGCTGTAGTGGGGAGGAGGAAGAGAAGTGCAATCCTTTTAATCTCCTTCAAAAAACTGGGCATCTATTTTTTGTTTGAGTTTAGCTGTTTTGAGGCCAAAAACCCAATGAAGAAATTGAAGGAGAGCTATTTAAATATTTTGTGAAAGCTCCACTGTACAGGGAAACCTTGGAGTCTGCTGAGGGGAAACAGAGAGTTAGTCTAAGGGAGTCAATTGCTGTGGAGATGGGTACTACTCTTTGTTGAGGACTGTCTGATGTAAAGGGGATTGACAATCACTTTGGAACAGAGTTGTTCTTAGGGGCCACAGTGTGAAAGACTGCTGATGGCACTTAAAACTAAGAGGTGTAATCTCATTCTGTCCTGCTCCACCACTGGGCTTGCACAGACAGGTTTTTAGCAGACATTCTCCCTCATTTGCATACACATTTAAGTTGGCAGATTTTCAAACAAGCTCAGCACATAGGGTCTGGAGCTCTTTATAAGGTCTGGCCTTGACCTGTGGTCTGCTTTCACGCCAACTTTTTTGTAATCATCTTCATGGGTGACTGGTGCCTCCTGAGTCTGGGGGGGCACCAGATCGCTGACGGGGAGGGGGAGTCCCCCAGCAGCCAATTGCTGAGCCAACGGCAAAACCAGAAGTGCACTTCCAGTTTCGCATCTGGCACTTCCAGGGGGCGCATGGCCAATCTCAGGGGGTGCACGTGCACCCACATGCACCCCCTACACGTTGCCAATGATGATCTTTATATAAAACCTACTGTTCATACCTTTGCTTTCTTTCACTTCAAGACATCGGCTTTTTCAGGTCCTTTCTCAGTCTGTTTTCACCTCCCATTACTTTATGACCATTGAACTTCTTTCCATGTATCTTTCAGCTCGTGCTAAACCTCTCTGTTCTTTGTTCAACCCTTTTTGTTTTCACCTCCACTGCACTCTTCTTTCTCTCCCCCTAAAGCACCGGAACCGCCACCACGTGCCTGAGGAATATGATGCTTGCACAAAGAACTGTGACAGGACATGGCTTTTCTGTCCTACCTGCCACTTCCGTATGCTTACAGCTAGGACAAGAGGAAAAACTTTTGCCTCTAGCTGAGAAAGCATGAGAGAAGTGGAACCTGTGGCTTGTGTCAGATAGGCACATAATACAAATATGAACAAAAGTATGGTCTTTTCCCCTCTCTACTTCTTGAAGTCCCTCCCACGATTGTCTCCTTTGCTTTATTTCCTGCTTCTGGGTCTTTTTCCCTTGCCTATTCCTGCTCACTATAATCTCCACCATACCTTGTCTCCCCATTCCTGCTTCTTTTGCTGTGTCTTAATCAGTCCTACTGGATAGTACCTCACCAGCATGGCCCTCCCCTCTAACAGCTTGTACAACAGTTACTCAAGGCTTAAAGCTTTTATTTATATGGAAAATTGCACTGACTTTAATGGAACTAGCTAGTTCTTAGCACTAGAGATGGATTCTGAACATATTTTTCAGTTGAATGGCTGAAGCCAAACAAAAAAAAGTCATAAAATGATTCAGTATGGATTAAATAGAAATAGACATTTTTGGTGAAGTCCCCAACTTAAATGTTTTGCTTAGTTTTCTGACAATTCTTTTCTTTTGATTTAGACAATTTGTTAAATGAAAAATGCCATTTCCAAAAGAAAGTAGAAAAGTTGAAAAATGTCAAAGCTAAAACATTTCAGCATTTCTAAAACTAAACAGTCATTTAAAAACTAAAGGCACAAAAAGATTTGGCATTTAATAATGTATTATTTATCCAAAAAAATTGCCTGATTCCACTCAGTACTTGAGAAAATGAGGCCACTTACGTAAGTGCCTAAGGCTTGAGCAGAGATATTTTCAGAAGTGCGTAAGGGAGTTGAGAACACATGCCCGAGTGAAAGTTAACTTCCAAGTCAACCTTATTCCCTTAGGTGTGTTTCAAAATCTTGCCCATAAACCCAGCTTCAGGTACCCATTCACAAAAGTCATGGCATTCATAAAACAACGAGAAAAGAAACAAGCAGCAAGACGGATCTTTAAAATTGCACTAGTGTAATTGAATCCCAATTGTGAATAGGGAATATCAATTAGTAAGCTCTACTTTGGCTTTGACTGTGGTCTCAGCCTCATCTTGTTGACTCTCGTAACACAAATATCAATACAGATCAGTAAAGCCAGGAAAGAAATAAAAAGCCTACGATTAGTGAACAGCCGCTTTTCTAAAAAAAAAGGTGATTTTTATTGAGTTTTAATATACAGCTTTAATATGTTAGGGTAATCATACAAGATCTCTTTTGTGTTCAATTTACATATTACAATAGGACGTGAGCTCAAATCTTTTGTTTCAATGTACAAAAGGAATCCATTGGTTGTCCACTAGCAGCTTTGAAACTTGGCAAGAAAGTTTCTAAAAGATTGTAAGTGCAGTAAAAGACCATAAAGAATACAAAATGCATATAAAGGACTGTTCTCCAAGGTGTATAAACATTGAAAACAAACAGCACCTGCTCCACAGGGCAGACAGCTGGCAATTTAAAAAGTCACTGATCAATGTTCCAGACAAAGAGGAGCATTACCCTGTGCAATCATTTTTATAAAATGGCCTAACAATATCTGTATCAAAGGATTTGCACTGATCAGAAAGTAGATCTGAAGAGAAACAGTAGGCAAAGAACTGCACAATCAGAAATGAAAAAGTAATATAAAATATTTTCACCACTATTTAAATGCCAAATTAATCAAGCAATAGTAAAAAACAAAACAAAAACCCCTTCTGTTTAAAATAACAGCACTGTTTTACCTATTTTGAATTAATTTTTCTTATGAACACACTATATACTTGATTGTTTCTTCCATATAGAGAAATGTGTCCATTTGCTCTGTCACTGCCATGAAGTTGATGTATATCAACTCATCACATTTCACTTTCAAGACGACACCTTTTAATGCTGTTTTCCATGTAGTCAATGCTTCAAATTAGATGCATCCTCATCTCAAGTTAAATACTTTCCTTTTTTTCTTTATACAGTGCAGGGTATATGGGCTTAGGTTATGAAGCTTCTCTTTTACTCCAGTTCACTGTCTATTTCTGAGTTCAGTGGTGTACAGTAGTTTGGCTTGTCCGAAGGTACATAGCCTGGCAGACACAAACACTTGTACGAACCTTCTGTATTAATACACTTGGCATTTTTGCAGAGAGACATTCTGTTGTTCAGTTCGTTGCACTCATTTACATCTGCAGAAGGAAACACCAGAACACGTAGATAAAAGAATGAATGAACTAAACACGCTAACATAGCCTTTCCTTTCCACAGAGACTATTTCCTGTCAGAAGCACGAGATGGAATTCCACTGTATCATTAGCAATGATAGAATGTGTTGAATGAAAAAGTGGGAAACTGAGTATTAACTTCAGACTTGACAGAGTGAGGTCAGGCTGGGCCCAAAGATTTGTAATTCATACAATTTAAATGGAGGAGAAAATAGTGGATGGACATCATAGGGAATCACTACTGGGTGAAAGAGCCTTTCACTCACAGATCGCTGCCAGTCTGACTTCAGCATAAGGTTGTTAGGAAATAAAAACTATCATTAACAACACTCACTTATACATATATCCAGCTGATGACTGTTCAATGACTTATTAATGTGAGTTAATCTCATTTTTTATTTCACTAGTATTCTTAGATGTCTATATTAAAAAATTCACAAATTCTCTTGGCACTAATTGGTACTCTGAGCACAGAGCCTTAGGACTAAGCACCTGAGGAGACCAGAGCACCTCTCACCCCTAGAGCAACACTTCGTAGCATTGGACTGGGGCACACTAGAGATATGCCTTCACTTGCAGAACGGGGTAGCTTACTGTAAAATCGTAGCCGATATAAGACCGGTATTTTTTACCACGCTGTAGCTAGGAGAGGTGAACGGGGGGGGGGGTGAGCTGGATAATACTCTGCTACAAGTTCAGTAAAACCACTGTTGTCTTATATCTGCTAGGCTTTTACAGCAAACTAGCTAATACATACTAGTAGTTTTAGTATTTAAAAAAATATTTTAAACAAGATTGAATAAACGTGCATCTTGGTACCTTACCACAATAGCTCACTCTGTACTGAAAGTGATACAGGTACCCTAGCATGGTTCTTCTTATAATTACTACTGAGTCAAGTAAATTGTTGCTGATATACTTTGCCCCGTATCTCCCACAGAAATGTGTGAGTAAATTGGTTACAAAATGAAAACAAGCTGCATATGGAACAGTGCACTGTATGCTCACCAACACAAGTCATTTTGGCCATGTCCAAGTGGTAGCCATCAAAACAGTCACAAGTATAACCTTCCTGAACTCTCACGCATCGGCCATTTTCACATCCATTCAAAATGCCACATTCCTCTGCTTGTAATTCCTCAAAGCTGTTTAGAAAACCTGGATGGAGAAACATTAGAAACAAATAAGTTACAGAGCAGTTCTGAATCCTTCTGTACAGTCGTCTAGTAAAACTCTTCAATTTCCTCAGAGGTGTCTTGGGAAGTGTCTCAACTTTATAGAAAATGGGTCAGCTTTAACAGACTTAGAATTTTATGTGCACTATAAGCACAGCCAGATATATTTCAAAATGAAGCTGAAATGGTTTGAACTCTCACTTTTTCACTACTATTAAAATCCCTGATCTGCATTTTAAAGACAATGCTTATTCTTATTAATTGCATAATAACACACCATCAATTTATATTAAAAATCTTTTTGACCCACGCCCTATAATTATATCAGCTTTTACTTAAGCACAGCAAAGTGAGAATTGTAGGGTAATTCTTTAAAAAAAGAAAAGAATGATAAAACAAACCCTTCTTAAATAACCTTATGAAAAGGAGAAGGGAAAAGCTGCACTGTAATTAATTTAGAACAAACATGTAAAAAAAATCTTTGGTCCCAAATGCCTTGAGGGAAGTAAAATGAAATTAGAGACCAGCAGCCTACTGTGGTTTTGGTTAATAACGCATTGGATAGCACTTAGGAGGTGGCTGCCAGTATAAGCACCTATAATTTATAATTGCATCTTGTTATAATCCTGGATTGTGAAGATTCTGGGATAGGGACTTAAATGGAAACTCTCTCTCAATAGCTTACTGTTATGAAGGATCCCTTATCCACATTAGGGCATCTATACAGATACATGATAATAAATGACAAAGATTGCATGTATTTTAAAATAAAAGAGTATAACTTCTCACTGAAATTCAGTAAAAATAATCTGTCTATCTGAGAACCAACAAGTTAAAACTACACAATTGTCTTTCCGTTCTTGGAGGCAGTGTTCAAACAGAACTGTAGATGGCGGTCAACCATACCAAAAGGCTTTGGGAAAAGCATAACGTCTGAGTTGTACCACTTGGGAAGGAAAGGGTTGGACTGCATTTTTCCTAACAACAACCATATGTTAACTTAACTAACAGGTATATCTAAAACCTGTTCATAGATTTGTGATTAGTTGCTACAGAGATTTGATAAGCACAACAGCTGAACTATCTATTCTATTCTTTTCTCCCTTTCTTGCTGTTCTTTTATTTGTCTTTTCACATTGGCCTTTATGCCTTTCTCATTTTACTTCTTTCACTCTACTCCATCCTGTCCTCTCTCTTATTTTCTTTGACATTCCCAACATTTCCCCCTCTACTCCCTCTGTCCTCACCCCCCATGTCCTCTGCTTGGGTAGCTCCGACATCAATATCTTCAGGTTGTTTGGGTGCTCACAAGGTCATGCCAACTGATACACTGAGGTGAATTTCTACAGTATTTAATCAGTATTTCATCAGTTCTATAGAGACGTAACAGAATAATATGCAAATACACGGGGACTCCTTGCTGAAATGCACGTGAATGTATGTTTATATGAAGCCCATACCTTCATATACAGTCAGGATCATTACATAGTTTCCTGTTAAAATGTCAGAAAGGTGCAGTAGCATGACAAATGCATTGAGTAGATTGTTTTGATTTACTATAAACTAGCAAGAATCTTTATCTCAAATTTCCATTATATTTTTAAGTCCACTTACAGAGCTTATGTGTGGCTCCTTTAAATAGAAGGCCTCTTCTGGGCCCTCATACAGACAGCTAATTATGAAAACCAAATACTGCCAAGAAGGGAAAAGGTGGGGCTCTTAAATAAATTCTTTACAAATGAAAGTCATCATTTATTCTACAAAGAGCTCACATGTACCATGTTGAAATTTTAACCAGCTAAAACTGGTTAAAACAAGAATGTATGCACTCCAAGCCATTTTGCACATCTATTTCTCGACTTGTTTGCAGCCAGTAACAAAACTTTACGTGTAGTTCTAATGGAGTGTGATGGTAATAAAGCTAAAACATATTTAACTGATGTACAGGCTCTGAACTTCAGGCCCTGCAGGGCAGGGTAGAACTACTCCTTTTCTGGGATTGTTCAGTGCTCAGTACAACGGGTCTCACACCTAATAGGACCTTTTCAATACTACCATAGTATAAATATTTATCATGAACAATAGTAACAACAGCAGCTGACTAAAATATCCAAAAGGACAGAAATCCTGGGTACTTGTCATGATTTCACATTGCAGTAAGCTAGTATTTGTCATAAGCATATGAAGTTGATTTAGTTGTGGCCAGAAGAAGCCACACAGCTGTTTGGGGTTTTACCCTCTGTTCATTTTCCACTGTTGTTTCTGAATTAGTGGCAGGATGTGAAAGTGAGAGAAAGCGAGCTCTGACATCTCTCAATATTTCTTAGCATGACTCAGTTTTTTCTCACCACTTATCCATGGAAAATCTTTTATCATTGCTCATAATTTGAGGAAATACTTTTTTTTTCCTTCCACTAAATCTCTTTGCCATGATAGTTGTCATAGTCATCTTTTCCTGCATTTTCCATCGTGCTTTGATCATTTTAATCAATGTAACCATTTAGTTATAGATCCGCACACAGTATGTCTTAATGAAAATAATCTGGATATAAAAAGGTTTAATCTTGTAATACTGTGTATAAAGCTTGCTAGTCTATATCAGGATGAAGTAATTAGACCATTTTCTGTAGGATGTACTGACATAAAATGCAATTAGTGAAAGGAATACATTTCAGACACTTGTTCCTCATTCTAGTCCTCTTGCCCTTTCAGAACTATCACTTTGGTTTCTATTACCCTGTTTTAAATACTGACCCATTGTCAGCATAAATACTGACATTGTATAAAAGAGATGCTTTGGGAATGAGACAAATAGTAGCTGTAGGCTAAAAGGACAAAGGCAATTGAAATTCCTGGTTCTTTCTGCTGCCTCCATTTTGTTTCTGGTGTGACACTATGAGGATATATGCTAGACCAAATTTAGGCCTAGAATACAGGTATCAAACTGATTTGAAGACAGTCCACATTTTCTGGTCTGATTCAACATCCATTTAAGTAAACTGGAATTTTTCAATTCACTTTGAAATGAGCTGAATCAGGCCTTTATTTGATAAAGCTTACACATCTCTGATTCAGTTAGTCTATAAGGTGCGTCTCTACCCTGCTGTCTGCCTTTATTCAGTAAAGGAGCTACGTGTTTTCTGAAGCATAAATGTAAAACTCGCCTTACCTAAGATTTCTCTAGCAAGACCTTTACTTTCCTCATGACCTACTTGATGTGTGTGTGCACTGGCATTCTAATTTAAAAGCCCAGGTACATCATGCACTGCGATCTTGCTGTGCTAGGTTATTACTCTTTGAGTGGAAGCAATTTGCACACTCCACCTACCATACAGGTTCTTCTGGAAAATCACTGAATGCTAACATGATGATTTTTTTTCTTTTCTAAATACACCCCAAAGGAGTTCGTTGCATGCTGTAAAGGAAATTAATTTGTGAGAAGGAAAACCAACAATTCTTTGGAGGTTTAGCAGTAAATCTGTTGGTAAATATAAATGTCATCTTATTGGCATATATGATTTCATTATATTTAAAGATAATATTAGACATTGAGCCCGGTTGGGCTCGTTTACAACCCCTGGCTCTTTGACCAGAACACCTGACAGAGAGTTAATGTCAGAGGAATAACTAGAACATAAATAGGCCATATTACTCAGAAGCAAACAGAAGAACAGAGCCAACTACAGGGAAGTAATCCAAGTTAAAACCTTAATTTCAAGCAGTTTACATAACAGTGAAATTTGCTTACGGTCTTCAACAAAGTACGGGTTAGTTTCTGGAGTGTACTGTTCTTCGAAGTCGATCAAAGCATCTTCTCCATATGGTCGCCGAGATCCTGGAAACTGAATGTTGCACAGCTGGGCATAATCCTCTGGGGGTGGGGGGAGAAAGCAAAATAAGATATAATACTAAACACTTGTAAAAAGGGCTGCACCACATCAGTCCCAGTGCCTTGTGCTTCCTATTAGCTGGAAAATAAACAGTTCTTCCTAGAAACACCATACATCTGCAGCTCCCACAACATGTTCTCTCTTCAAGAAGAATGTCATTAAAATATAATGGGCCAAATTCATCCCTGTGGTGACTTCAATGGTTTGGCACCATGGATGGATTTGAATAAAAATAATAAAAACATTAAAAATGTTCATGGCTTTTGGCTGGTCCAATGAAGAGGTAAGGGACAGGAAGGCAAGGAGATGCTAGCTTCCTCTCCCAGTACAGCCAGGAATAGGGGCTTCCTGCAATTATAGTCATTGCATTCCTTGATTGAAAAGGCTGATCCCAGCCAAAACTAGGGCTGGCATGAGCCAGGGAAAGAGGGTTGGCTGTCTCACACACTCCACTGGCCAGACCTGAGCCAGTCAGGGAGAAGAATACTTCTACCCCTTCCAAAGTGGTTCCTTCTCATCATCCTGTGATGCAGACTATGCCTTAAAACCATAGATTTGCTTAACAGTTCTGTGTGAGCTTTAGGATTCAGGGGGAAAAGCAGACCGGGAAACCTACTTTACGACAGACATCACACTTACACAGAGTAGCTCTCTGTCACCTGCACAAGGCTAGACTCCACGGTTTATGATTCTATCCCTGGCTTTAAGCTAACAAAGCAGTTCCTTAGTTTAGGCAGTAGAAGCTCATAACTTTAGAAGCCCGTGTCATGGATTTGATCCTCACCGCTGATGACTCATCTAATAGACTGTTATGTCACCATTATATCTCCTGTTTGGCCTGCAGTGTAAGTTAGATACCTTAGTGCTACCTCTAAAACTACTATTACCATTACATAATAACTTGTATGCAAGGCAAACGCTTTTGAATAAAAACATCAGTGAAACATGGCATGACATGGTCTCCTTGACTCTTGCTACATATAACATTAGCATTCAAGCAGCTCTTCCCATGCAGATTGCCTCGCTTTCAGAAAGCCAGTGACAGAAAAAACAGGAAGGTTAAAAACCCAAAATAACAAGAAGCCCCAAGAATTGATTGTGGCAGAACTCTTCTAGACAGCAAACCTCTTTGGAAACCCAGACTGTCTCAATTCAAGCTCAAAACAGAATACATTTCGCTTGTCATCTTATTTCATAGAGAACATCAGCCACATCTGGGATGGCTTCTCTACCTGTCAACAATAGGGTAGAAAGAAGACCACATAAAAGTGCAGTTGGAGATTGTGGTCAACAGCTTTATGCCTCCGGCACAATAACATTCTCAAAATGAAACAAGTAGTATGTTTAAGCTAACAAAAAACAGTTCTTTTCCACACAGCATGTAATTAAAGTGTGGACCTCATTGCCACCAGATGCTGAGGAAGCTGACAGTTTACCCAGGTTCAAAAAAGAATTGGACAAATTCTTGGAGGAAAGGAGCATCACTAGCTATTGAGTGTGGAAGTTAAGGGTACAACAATTTCTAGATCTTAAACACTGGAGGCTGCGTGTGAGAGAGGAACAGTGGAAAAAACGAGGTCATCCCTGATTCACTCTCCTTTTCAGCATCCAGTCTCTGTCATTGTGACAGGATACCGAGACCAAGACTATGGGGCTCCATCAGAAACCAAAAACCATCCCAAACCTTGCCACCTTCCACTCCAAGTACAAAATACATTTCTCTGACCTGCCTTCTCTAACAAATGCAAAGGTGCATGAATATTAAAAACAAATGTTTCCCCAAACCACCCTCAATAAGCAAAACACCTTACCAAAACATTGCACTGTGCACCCTTCTCCTTCTAGGCAGGAGATGAAAGAACAAACAATACATGACATATTATGTTCTTTATGTGCAGCTGGAAAGCATTCAGGTACTATGGTAACAAGGGCAGCAAAAGGAGTTATACAGAACAGACTAGACACAGGGCAGAAACGGCCCCTAATGCTACCCAGAGTCCAGCCTACTCTCATTAACAAGTCAGCTGACTCTCCGAACTCTTCCAGACAGCAAGAAGCTTTGAAAAGTCAGACTGTCTCAATTCAAGCTTGAAACAGAATACATGTTGCTTGTCATCTTATTTCACAGAGAACATCAGCCGCATCTGGGACGGCTTCTCTACCTGTCAACAACAGGGTAGCAAGAACACTATGGAAAAGTGCAGTTAGAGACTGGGCAGCCAGGGGCATCCTCAACCTTTATTTATTGTTTTATAGGGAGCCCATCATTGTTATCTAAGCACTTAGATATTCAGATGGTCTTTGAATGATAGAAAAAGTAGAGGAAATTTCTTTGAAAAGCGATGACCCCTTCTGGCAAAGGGAATCTACTACAACCTTAAATATTCATTTTTCTGACTTGGATAAAAGAAACCATCACTTAATGCCATTACCTACACAAGCCACCTCTTTGCATTACCAGTCAGTGCATGCAAGGAACTAAAAATAAGAAGGAATAGGCTTTATTGGGTTGGTATTTTCCCTGCATTCAGCTGCGCTGTGACGGAGGACTGAGGGCAGAGCCTTAACTTCTCTAAGCAGCACAGCTCAGCTAGAGAGATATACTGAGACACACGGACTGGAAGATTTCTAAGAAAACACTGTTCTTCAGGCATTTTACATTTTTCCTTGGATTCAGCTAATGTTATCCTGTCTTCAATTTCTTGAGCACCAACACAAAAAAAATCAAAAATAAAATTAACAAAAAAGATGCACCTGTTTGTATAAAGCAAAGGTAGCTGGTGGATTTTTTGGTATGTCATTTTTAAATTTCTATGTATAAATCATGTTTTACAGAACAAATATCCAGCAATATACCACTAAGCCTCACAACACTTTGTGCAGAATGTTTTTAACCAAGAGCATTACACCTCTGAAGAAAATATTTTGAACAGAAAGAATATCCAATGCAAAGAAAACCTGGAAGAAATACAACTGAATATAAACAGAATGCAAGTGGCTGTCAACACTTTTGGTTAAAATAAGAAGGCAATGGCTAATATGTTCCCATATGGAATAAATGCTTCTTGACACTTATGGCTTAAAAAAGTTGACCTGCTTTCCTGCCCTGAATTTTCTGTATAGATTTGTCATAAATCAAAAAAAAAAGAAAAGAAAAAAGAAAAGAATGTTAAGTATTAAATATATCAGAATGAGAAAACTAGGACTTTTTTGTGGAACAAAGGCCTATCATTACAAACTGAACAATTCCACTGAAATCAGTGCAGTGAGTAGTGAGAGAATGCTAGGAAACTGGGATGAGTTGCAAAATTGATAATTCACTCTCTTGTCAGTCTCTTGTTTCATTAACACGTGGTAGGATTTTTAAATGTGCAATGTCGGCCTATTTTTGCTCCTAAATCAGTGACACAAAGGTAGTTCTATTGACTTTGATGCTAAGTGCTTTTGAAAATCCCAGCCATGATCTGAAACATAATTCTCTAAATCTTCTTTATGCTTGGTGTGGGCATTAACTACGTTGATTTTATACAGGTTCTGCCTGCTGTATTCAATACATTTAAAAAGATTCTGACTGAAAGAAGCAGGAAACATTGGATTGGGGACTACAACTGTCTGTGCCATTGTAAAATGTTAGTATGTCTTGAAATCCCCATTGCATTATAGTGATTCCTATAAAGAGTTATTGGTACTTTCTATATATCTGTACATAAAACTACACCTCACTTCGAATTTATGCCTTTAGAACCCCATGCAACCTTTTAGGCTCATGCAAAAATGTTATTTACTGCCATATGTGACACAGAAGTGGAACCCATGGTTAACCTACTGTTGACACAGATGACCCAGAGAATCTGAAGTCTTTGTGAGGCAGTATTTTATACTGGACACCTACCAATACAAAATATTCTAATCTATCATGTAATCTTTTATTAGAAATGTATGACTATGGGAACCTGCTCCTGTTTGCACTGAAGCTTTTCTGATATAATCAAATTTTGCACGTCTTTCTTTCTACCTTGAATGCAACAATTATAAATAAATGAATGGTTAATAAATAACACTAGTAGTACTCGTTGCAGATAGCTATAAGCATATCAGAAGACAGTTTTATAAATGGCTGTACAACATGGCTCTAAGCAACCTATTTGCTCAGAGGCAAGTTATACACATGATTGCTTCTAAAGGGAGTGCATGCCATGTTTAAATGCTGTGAGATGTTCACAAGCAGCAGAGGACAATGATTCTAAAGTGGAATTTGAATGAAAGATTACAACTCTAATAGATGATGTTGAGTGAAGTGATTAAACTGTTTGTTATTAATAACAATGTGATTGTATATGCAGGACAACACATTTTACCTTTGATTAATCTTAAATTTTTGCAGTTGACAGCAGTGTCTTTGTTAAATCTAGTATTTCAAAGCTTCCAAAAGAATGGTTCCCTTTTTCAAATCTGACAGTGTCTGACTGGCTCTCTCAGCACTGCCTGTGAAAAGGAAAGCCCTAAAGACAGGGGCATTAGGAAAGGCATAACCTTTTGAGGGGAAGGATACAGAATTTTTGTGCTGGGGGCATTTAAGACAGATATATAAGGGTTCCATGTAGATGTAGGAAAAAAATTGGTAAGATAGAGGTGTATGAAGGACTTCTTTGTTTTACTGTTTTAAACTTTTTCCCTTGCCCCTTTATTTTCCTACTGTTATGATTAAAAATACTTTAAGAAGGTTGTTTTGGGTCATTGTGTTTTGCACAGCTCACAAGCTCCCCAAGGCAAGAACTTCATAAACTGACTTTAGTCGGACCTGTTAGGCAAATATGGCTGGTGCACAGGATTCTGCTACTGTAAGAGTAGGAGAAAAGTGAAATTCTGTCCCAGAGAGGGGATGATCCAGGTTCTGACAGAAAACACTAAGTAAAATTGGAAATGGAGACAGAGAAGTGTGGTTGTCTCTCAATTTTGACAATATTTTACCTACTAAGCT